CTTTCTTTCTTTCTTTCTTTCTTTCTTTCTTTCTTTCTTTCTTTCTTTCTTTCTTTCTTTCTTTCTTTCATCAGATTCCAAAAAAGAAAGAATTTTAAAAGATTACAAAATATTGATTAAAATTATCAGTTATTAGCAAGTGTATATTATAATCTGCAAGCATATATAGTAGAGCTAGTTTGGTGTAGTGGTTAAGACACCAGGCTAGGACACTGTGAGTTCTTGTCCTACCTTAGCTACAAAGCCAGCTGGATAACTTTGGGCCATTCTCTTTTCTCAGCCCTTGGAAGAAGGAACTGGCAAGTCAGTTCTGAAAAATGCTAACAAGAAAACTGCAGGGGGCAATCACCAGGGGTCAAATATGATTTGAAAACACAACTTTCAAGGGTGTATGTGACATACTATTATATTTTCTACTTTCTATAACTAAGAAACATGTAGATATTCTTCATGTTGCTTTTACATGTATTTGCAATCAACTCATGTACTTGTGGCACACAGATTTGTACTTGGTTTGGGAAAAGCTGCCCAAAACATTTCTTTTCCACACATGGCCCATCAAAAATTAGAGAGAACATTGAAAGCGGGCCAAAAAGAAAAAAAAAAGGATCTATAATTTGAATAATCCAGATTGAACAAATAATTTGCAGATTTAAAAGGTTTCCAGGAAAGAACCCACCCTTGCTGACTGTAGTGCTCAAGTCTGTGTGACATGCAATATTGAAGTCTTTTTGACAAATCTGAGCTTTCATTTTCTGTAGGCCCAGAGGTCGCAAAGAATGGAGAGAAAGGCTGCAGTAACACAAGTCAGCTATGATTTTTACTTTCCATCTTTATGAGAAGTCATCAAGAAGATATAGAGGGGCCAGTGGGCCAACAGTAAATAGAATAGAATAAGAGAGTCGGCAAACATGGAATCTCACTTCCACTGGGATCATTCCTGTTTCCTGAAAATTAGAATATTTGGGACACAACATGGAATCTGGAAGAGTGCTTGCAAAAACTTAGATTGAACAGCATCCAAGGGCTTTAGATCTATGTAGGTGGATCTCTGTGTGCTAGACAGCATTTGCAATATAGATTTTGTTTTAAACAGGTTAATGGCAGCAGGTATGCCCACTTAAGAGTAAAAAAAAAAAAAAAAAAAGACCAGGATTATTTTGGCATTGTTATCTTGGCAGAGATGACTCTAGATTGTTCCTGCCAACTTCCAGAGGCCTGAAAAATTACTCCAAGATATTTAAAGGTAGAAATTGTTCTATTTTATTAGTTTCTGTTTGTCATTGGTATTTATGGCAGCTGGGTCTTCCCAAGAAAACCATAATTTTAGTCTTGGAGTAATTAATTGTAAGCCCTTCCTCCTTACACAATTCTGCTAATACCTGCAAATTTCTTCTAAGTCTCACCTGTGTGAGATAATGGCTACATCATTGGCATAGAAAGCATTGCCAAATGTCTGTCCCTAAGCTTTGGGGTGTGTGTGTGTGTGAAATTCTTTTTTTGGAAAAAGCAGCACCACTGAGTTTATGTAAATATCAAACAGTAAGGGAGCGAAACTGCATCCCTGTTTCATTCCTCAGCAGATTGGAATGTCTGCAGCTTTGATAGATAGATAGATAGATAGATAGATAGATAGATAGATAGATAGATAGATAGATAGATAGATAGATAGATA